GAGGCGGAGTCTCCCTCTGTTGGCCCAGGCTGGAGTGCAGTGCCGGATCTCAGCTCACTGCAAGCTCCGCCTCCCCAGTGTTTACGCCATTCTCCTGCCTCAGCCTCCCGAGTAGCTGGGACTACAGGCGCCCGCCCACTGCCCCCGGCTAGATTTTTGTATTTTTAGTAGAGACGGGTTTCACCGTGTTAGCCCAGGATGTCTTGATCTCCTGACCTTGTGATCCGCCCATCTCGGCCTCCCAAAGTGCTGGGATTACAGGCTTGAGCCACCGCGCCCGGCCACTTGCTTTTCCCTTACTTTGTACTGCCTACTTGGTGATATTATAAATAGTGATATTCAAATAGTTATATATTTGAGTTTTTTTTCCAGTTTTGATTTATGTCTCTGTGCTTCTTCCTGAACCATGTTTATATTTTCTTTCAAAAACCTTTGAATACATGATCAAATGTGTCACTTCTTAAGAATGCTGTATTTGGCCAGGCCAGTGGCTCATGCCTATAATCCCAGAACATTGAGAGGCCAAGGCAGGTGCATCACCTGAGGTCAGGAGTTCGAGACCAACCTGGACAACATGGTGAAATCCCATTTCTACTAAAAATACAAAAATTAGCCAGGGCATGGTGGCAGGTACCTGTAATTCCAACTACTCGGGAGGCAGGAGAATCGCTGGAACCCGGGAGGCAGAGGCTGTAGTGAGCCAAGATCGTGCCACTGCACTCCAGCCTGGGTGACAGAATGAGACTCTGTCTCCAAAAAAGCAATAAAAACAAAAAAGATTGCTGTATTCTTTATTTTCATTTCTAAATTTGTTTCCTTATTACAACAAATTTAGAAAACAATAGGATAAAGAAAAAACAAAGGTCATCTGTAGTCCTATCAATTAGATGTAGCTACCATCAAATTGTTATAGCAAATACTTAGAATTCTTTTTTTAATATGATCATTGTGTAGCTATTGATCTGTGTAACCTGTGTTTATTATGCCAAAATACATATAAACAGCTGTCCATGTTAACATTTATCTTTATCATGAATTGTAATGGCCTCATAGAGTTATTTCACCAAGTCTTTTTTGTTGAATATAGTTTGCTTACAAATTATTGCCTTTCTAAATAACCATCTACTTTGGCCAAATGCTAGTACTTGTTTTTTTCCTTTTCAGTAAAATTATAATTATATACATAATTAATGAATATATTTTTCTTATAAAAATAATTTATATATTATAGAGGGGCTCAAGTCTTGTGCAGCCACAGTCCCCAATCCGAGGTATCTACCCAAACGTAGCCACTGTTATTGGTTAATTATTCATTTTGTTAACCTTTATTCTATGCATTTAAGTACATACATATATACATACATGTACATTTCACTAAAAAGTGAAATTATAGGAATAATAGCATATGTGTATTTTATTTTATTTTATTTTATTTTATTTATTTTTGAGATGGAGTTTTGTTCTTGTTGCCCAGGCTGGAGTGCAATGGCACAATCTCGGCTCACCACAACCTCTGCCTCCAGGGCTCAAGCAATTTTCCTGCCTGAGCCTCCCTAGTGTCTGGGATTATAGGCATGTGCCACCACATCCCGCTAATTTTGTATTTTCAGTAGAGACAGGGTTTCTCCATGTTGGTCAGGCTGGTCCCAAACTCCCGACCCCAGGTGATCCACCTGCCTTGGCCTCCCAAAGTGCTGCGATTACAGGCGTGAGCCCGGCTGAGTATACGTATTTTAAATGTCAGTAAATACTTCCAAATTAAATTTCAAATTGGCTTGATCACTTCACAGTACACTCAGTTGTCTCTAACAGAATCAGCTTTTCTAACTGCCAGTTAGGTCACTTATTGCTGCAAAAGGTACAAAATAGCACTTAGAACAAATAATTATTTCATTTCATTTCAGCCAGCTATTCTTCTTTTGTTTGTTTGCTTGAGACTAAGTTTCGCTGTTGTCACCCAGGCTGGAGTTTAATGGCATGATCTCTGCTCACTGCAACCTCCACTTCCTGGGTTCAAGCAATTCTTCCTCAGCCTCCCAAGTAGCTGAGATTACAGGTGCCTGGCACAATGCCCACCTAATTTTTTTTTGTATATTTAATGGAGATGGGGTTTCACCATGTTGTCCAGGCTGGTCTCCAACTCCTGACCTCAGGTGATTCGCCCACCTAGGTCTCCCAAAGGGCTGGGATTATAGGCATGAGCCACGTCTGGCCTAAGCTAGCTATTCTTTTTTTTTTTTTTTTTTTTTTGAGATGGAGTCTCGCTCTGTCGCCCAGGCTGGAGTGTAGTGGCAGGATCTAAGCTCACTGCAAGCTCCGCCTCCCGGGTTCACGCCATTCTCCTGCCTCAGCCTCCCGAGTAGCTGGGACTACAGGCGCCCGCCACCACGCCCGGCTATACCCGGCTAGTTTTTTGTATTTTTAGTAGAGACGGGGTTTCACCGTGTTAGCCAGGATGGTCTCCATCTCCTGACCTCGTGATCCACCCGTCTCGGCCTCCCAAAGTGCTGGGATTACAGGCTTGAGCCACCGTGCCCGGCCTAAGCTAGCTATTCTTAACCTTGGTTGCTAACCTCTGGTCCCACTCTCAGCAATTCTGATTTAATTGGTCTGGGGTATGGCCTGAGCATCACCATTTTTCTCATTATCATTTTATGACTAATCAAGCAAAGCAGTGGGAATGAAGAAGGAACAAAGAAATCTGTAACTGGTTGTGATCAATTAGTTGTAAACACCACTTGCACTTGGACTAGCCAACCCCAATTTGTAAAAGGTCACCAGATGTCTCTAATGCACTACCGCAATTGAGAACTGATGAATTCAATGCACAGAAGCTGATAGAAAACATTAAAATTTCATTTGATGTGGAATGGGTTCAAACTTTGGAGTATTTAAAAAACTACCCAAGAGGCCGGGTGCAGTGGCTCATGCCCGTAATCCCAGTGCTTTGGGAGGAAGGTGGGCGGATCACCTGAGGTCGGGAGTTCGAGACCAGCCTGGCCAGCATGGTGAAACCCTGTCTCTACCAAAAATACAAAAATTAGCTGGGTGTGGTGGTGGGCACCTATAGTCCCAGCTACTTGGGAGGCTGAGGCAGGAGACCCCTTGAACCTGGGAGGTAGAGGTTGCAGGGAGCCAAGATCGCACCAGTGCACTCCAGCTTAGGCTGTCTCAAAAAAAAAAAAAAAAAAAATCAAGTAAGATGC